GAAAAACTTGTGGGCTTTTTTAGTCAGCATCTATGATTTGAGGAATTCATGATGAGAAAAGACAGAGAGAAGTCACTGGACACCTGAAAATAAGAACCATCGCATTTAACTGTGATGACTTTGAAATAGCGGTTTGAAAGAAAGCAGTCTATGCAATGTAACTAGCTGCATTCTGGTTCTGTAAATTGGCTTACAAATAAATGGAGCATATCAGAGCTTGAAAAAGCCTCTGAGAGCCTGAGAATAGGCTCACGTGGGTGAAAGGAGGTGAAGGGTAGTGCTTGGTACACCATAAGCACACACAGATATTTGCTTATTTTGAAGGAAGTGCATGCAACCTAGCAAACTAGCCTGAACCCCGTCTCTGTGAGGTGGTAACAATAAGGAAGATGACAGCAGCCGAGGCCATGCCTCCTCGCGCATGCTGGGTAGAGGTGGGTCTCAATCTCACCAGAGCCTGATTAGCTGCAGTACGGTGGCCCCGAGGAGGAGGAGCCTTTGCGGAAGTGGAAACTACTGACCTGGAACCTGATGCTGAATCTCAAGAAGGAAGTGAAGACAACGCATATACAGTTCTAGTATTTCAACACTATGTCGTAACAGAACGTTAATCTTCCACTTGTTCATCAACATGGAAAACTCAGATGCTGATGATGAAGATGGTGAATCTTGGGCCCAGCGCGGAAATCATATGAACCCGTCGGTTCGGGAAGAAGATTTCTATTTATTTCTAAATAGCCTGAATGAAGAAGATTTCAGGCTTAGGAGGGATAACGATTTGCAAGGTACGATAGGTGAAAACACAGAAGCAGATTGGCCGAGAAGACTTCAACTAATTACAGAGGACTCACCAGGAGAATCAGATGAAGACAGAGGTATACTTCACATTGGGGGGTGGGTGGGGAGATTGGATGGGAAGCTTAAGGAACGTCATAATAGTAAATGTCAACCAAAGATTATGCAGAGATGGCACAAGTAAATTTAGTGCTAAGTAATCGCTCATAAAAAGAGAACTGGCATTTATTTGGTCTTTGGTGAGAACGGCAAGGTATTTTGTTTTTCCTGATTCTCATTTGGTTTGTTTTAATTGGGTAAGAGTGAGAAATAGCCTATTTCTTATTTTTATTGGATTTCCAGCTCCACCGAAAGTTCCTCCTACTTCCTAAATTATTTTTCTATACAGATATATGATTTTCTTAACAGCAACAAGGAATATAGCATACTCTGATCAAGTGATTCTCAACTGGTACTGAATTTGCTCCTCCCCCACGGACAGTTAGCTTTGTTTGGAGAAAGTTTTCCTTGTCACAGCTCGTTAGGTGGGTGTTAGTGGCATATAGTGAGCAGAGGCGAGGGATGCTGCGAATCATCCTACAATACACAGGACAGCTCCCCTAAAACAAAAAGTTATCCAGCCCTAAATGTCAGTAGTGATGAGGTTGAGAAACCCCCTCTCTAAACTCTGAACTCAAGTCTGAGAAACTTCATGCTGAGAAACACACGAAAAAAGCAATCTCACAATCTAACTAATGAAGTGTCTATGATAACAGGTTAGTTCCTGGCCAGGGCCTGGGCACAGCACGTCCATTTTGTGTTCACATGTGCAGGTGGCTGGCGTCATGACCTGCTGGTCGGAGCCCCTTCTTGGCCAAACCGGGCTCCTGCCTGCTGCTCAGAAGGGTGTGGTAAGGGCCAGTCGCAGAGCAGCCTGGACACCGGAGCAGCACCGGAGCCCACAGCCCCGGGTCTCGGTGCGCTGTCTGCCCCCATGATGTAGGGCCTGCTTACTGCACCCAGGACCGACTGTCTGTGTTCGTTTCTGAAGAAACCAATTGTTGCTCCGAGTCTGAAATTTACTGTAACTGTTGGTGTAGGAACCAAGTCCACATCCTGTTTCATTTTTAGACCAACTTAGCAAACATGTTTCTCTTAACGCCCTGTCCTCCCCACGCCTCCCCAAAATTTAACTGCACATGAGCTCTGGAAAAAAAACAAATTTCTTTAACACGGCCTTTTATGCCCCATGTTAGGTTCAGGCCGTTCATCTGATCTGACTTTCGTTTTCACGCCAATTCAAAATCTCGGTAACATTAAGAAGCATTCAAATTATTTTAAGCTTAAAAATTTTGTTTCCATTTTGGCAGTAGTTATAATAGTCTTGTATTTTAAAATAATCTTATATATTATGGAAATCACTTCAGTCAAAAGACCAGAAGAAGTAATGTAGACCAATAAGAATTAGACAACAATGTAATTTGAACTAAAGAATTAGCACCATAATTTAATTGGGGTATGCCTTGTTTGATTGGTTTGGTATTTTGCCAGTGGACTGAAAAAATATCTCTTGACATGCTCTTCACAGTGATATACAAGGGTCTCTGTAAGATGAAATATTGAAAATAGACTTTTTCCAAATTCCCTTTAAATATAATTATCTCAGTTGATTTAGGATTAGCACACTCTTTTCAGATGGAATTGAAACTGTCTAGCTTCTACTTGTAAGTCTAGACTGTGTAGTTTACAAAAGTATTAAGTATATAAATCTGACATCTGCTTAAAACATCTGAATATTTTAGTTTTCATTTTTTGAAGAAAGTGAGCAAAGTTTGAAAGCACTATTTTATGATGGCTCTAAAATTGTTTTTATTTTATTTTATTTATTTTTTCATTTTATATTTTATTTTAATTTATTTCATTTTTTATTGTATATTTTTTTACTTATTTTATTTTATTTTATTTATTTTTTATTTTATATTTTATTTGATTTATTTATTATTTTATATTTTATTCTATTTATTTTATTTTATTTTTTATTTTATATTGTCAATATATAATGTGGTTGATTATTGTGGCTAATTAACAAAACCTCTCTCCCTCCTCCCTCTCCCCCCTCCACCCCAACAATGTCCTTTCTGTTTCCTTGTTGTATCAACTTCAAGGAATTGTAAATGTTGTGTCTTCTTTCCTCCCTGCCCCCTCACAGGTTGTTTTTGTACTTATTTATTTATTTTTAACTCCCACAAATAAGTGATAACATGTGATATTTCTCTTTCTCTGCTTGACTTGTTTCACTTAATATAATTCTCTCTAGGTCCATCCATGTCATTGCAAATGGCAGTATTTCATTCTTTTTTACAGCATAATAGTATTCCATTGTGTAGATATACCACCTTTTCTATATCCTCTCATATGATGATGGAAATTTGGGCTGGTTCCAACTCTTAGCTATTGTAAAGAGTGCTGCAATGAACATTGGAGAACAGGTATACCTTCGCCCTAATGATTTCCATTCCTCTGGGTATATTCCCAGCAGTGGGATAGCTGGGTCATATGGTAGATCTATCTGCAATTGTTTGAGGAACCTCCATACCATTTTCCATAGAGGCTGCACCATTTTGCGGTCCCACCAAAAATGCATGAGAGTTTCTTTATCTCTGCAACCTCGCCAGCATTTATCATTCACAGTCTTTTGGATATTAGCCATCCTAACTGGGAAGAGTTGGTATCTCAGTGTGGTTTTGATTTGCATTTCCCGAATACTGAGTGATGTTGAGCATTTTTTCTTGTGTCTGTTGGCCATTTGTATATCTACCTTTGAGAAATGCCTATTTAATTCTTTTGCCTATTTTTTAATTGGGTTACCTGTTTTTTTGTTGTAAAGTTGTTTCAGTTCCTTGAATATTCTGGATATTAATCCTTTGTCAGATGTATATTTTGCAAATATTTTCTCCCTCTCTGCTGGTGGTCTTTAAACTCTGTTAATTGTTTCTTTTGTTGTGCAGAACCTTTTTAGTTTGATATAATCCCATTTGTTTATTTCTCCCTTGGTTGGAGGTTCTAAATTTGATAGTTTCTTTCTGATCATCCCCCTCCATCTCTCTGGTAACAGGTGGAGGAGAATCTTCAGATGATACGTCCAGTGATGATTCTCTAATAGAATGGATTATCTCTTTTGAAGAAAATGAAAATGGTAGCACAGGAAGTGAGCAAGGAGAAGACCAATGTTGGATAGCAGTGAGCCGGAGTAGTCCGGAAGATGGTGATTTCAGTTTCAGTGAAGGGATAAATTTTCACCCTAATAATGGAAGCCTGGGTCCAGGGAATGAATATGCATTATCTCCAAGACGTCCCAGGGCAGAAAATACAGAAAATAGACAGAGGCAGGTGGGAAATCCACGATCTGAGTCAACAAATGCAACGCCTGCTACATCAGAACAAAGTGCAACTGAAGCATTTATAGAAGTCCCAACGACCAGAAGTCAGAGAAGAGCGAGAAGCAGGAGCCCAGACCATCGTAGAACCAGAGCAAGAATTGAAAGTCGGTCACCTCAGAATTCATTGAGTGAAATTTCACAAAGATTTCATCATAGTATACCATCTCAGACTGTTGATCAGCCTCTGGTAAATGAGACTGAGAGGTGTTTTACCACTCGACAACATGAGACATTGAGACCCCAAGCAGCTGGACATGAGTTGCAAAGTTGGCATCTTTTTGAAGCTTCTGGAGCAAGTAATGCCTTTCCAGGAGAACTTTCTCCAGACAGAACCAGAAATGGTGAATCTGGGAGACAGAGACCAAGAAATCCAATGACAGTCTTTGATCTTGAAGTAAGAAGAGAATTTTTGCAGAGAGACCGCATAGCTAGTAGACCTCAGTCAACATTTGAGCCACCAAACAACACTGTCACTTTAGAAAGTGAAGAAGAAGGACTCAGAAATACTTCTTCACATTCTGAGCAGGGAGATGTGAGAAATTATGTCATAGCTGTGAGAATCCCTTCTAATAGAATTACAATATCTGCTGCACCTCAGAGCACATTAAGGCAAAGCATGACAGTATTTGATGAGTCAAGTAACCTTTCGGGCAGTGATAGTGATTTAGAGCCTACTTTCTCACCTCCAAGTCAGAACATGGAAAGGACAGAGTCACAGAATGGAGAAGATGGTTCCAGTGGCAGTAGGAGCTCTTGTTCCGATTCAAATCCTAGACCCCAATCAAGTTCCACATCAATTTCCAGTTCAAGATCCAGGTATATGTCTAGTTCCAGTTCTAGTCCAACGTCCAGTTCCAGCTCCAGTAGTGAATATTCAGAAATTCTCTCATTGATCCTTGAAGACAGTAATGAAGAAAACTCACCATCAGAGGCCAGGCAAGAAACGACCTCTGATGAAGATGACACACAGATCTTCCTTAATCTTCCTCAGTTTGACATCTTAATTGAAGATGATCATGACCAACCTACAGGACTCACCAAAGCACAGATTGAGAACTTGGCAATAAGAACTTTTGGTGAAAATGATTCATTAGCATCCTGTTGTGTTTGCATTACAGAATACACAGAAGGCACCAAGCTTCGCATACTACCTTGTTCCCATGAATATCATGTCCATTGCATTGATCGCTGGCTGTCTGAGAACTCTAC